GCTCCCGTAGTCATGAACGTCGCCGTCGTCACTGCCGCCACCGCCGCCGTCGGTCGTCGCTGTCACCGCCGTCGTCGTCCGTCGTCGTTCGTCGTCGTCGTCGCCTGGTCATGGTGGCCCGCCGTCGTCGTTGCTGCTGTCGGTCGTGGTGCCACTTTCCTCAGTCCAGGTCTTGATCGTCGCGCCGTCGGCCACGAGCCTTGGAGGCGGAAGATCTTCGGTTTAGGCGGCTTGAATTTCGAAGGATTCCCTTGCCGGCTCTTGCCTCACATAGTCAGCGATGTTGCCGAAGCTTGTTCAGGGATTTCGCAGATTTGTCTGATAATCCTCTGTCGGTTGGATTCGCTCCTCCACCATGCTAAAGTTGAGGGAAAACTTTGTTTTCTTTCGAAGGACGACTGGCGCGACCCCAAACTCAACACCAAGATGGCAACGAGGCACAGCTGAGAAGCACAGTCCGTCGTGAGTGGAACACTGTTGCGTCTCTGTTTTGCTTCACTAGCTCTGGCTCAACGAAGAACTGGCTGTTCTGTTCCGCAGACAGTTGTGATGCTCGGTGCAGGCACGGATGCCTGTTCCGGCAACAGTTTCCATTATTGGCAAGCCCCTGCAATCACATCTTCAATTGTGTTGATCATACATGTGATTGTGTGGCGCTTTCTCAACTGGAAGCTTGGTTATGATGCCTTCGAGAATTACCCTCTTGAAGGTCTCGCAGAGGCGGTGATCAAGGTTTGCGAGCTTGTTTCGACGGTCATATCCTTCACGATGACCACGGTGGTTGGACTGCTTGTTGAAGGCCATGAGTTTGCACCAGTATCGCACGATTGCCCTTCAGAGATTAATATGCACTTGCGAGGGGTTTTCTATTCGCTGTGTTTGTGGTGCCTGATGTGTTCCCTCTCAAGCATTATATACACACTGCACATCTGCACCTTCTGCGGTGCGGCTCAGAAGGCTGAGACTGTGGTTGCCGCTCATCTGATCTGGCAAAACATTGGCAGGATGGGTGACCTAGTTATCCTCGTGACCGAGACCTACTTCTACTTTGCTTGCAGTATCGTGGTATGGTTGGGAGGTACCTATGGATGGACAGGTGGAGTTCTTGGCCTCGTCGGATTGGTAATAGTTTGCCTGAGTGTGCTCTTAGCGTGGGTCGATCTTTCACGAATCACGCTGAAAGATTCAGCAAAAGCGGCTGAAAACCTAAACCTGTCTGCCGAGTTCGCCGCACTAGAAACAGCCTAAAGCCTGTCTGCTGCATCAGCAAAATCAGTTGGAAGCCTGTCTGCCGCGTCCGATGCACCAGACCCTGAGAAGAGAGTACCGACTTTATCGGACTTTCACAAGAAAATGAAGGAGAAGGGCCAGAAACCTCACTCTGGTCGTATGTGGCAACAAAATTCAGAGACCCAGTCTCTGATCGGCAAGGACTCAAAGGCTTCAGAATGATGCTCCGGGTCGTCGCGAGACAGACTTCGTGATCTGCGCTGGACACAAAAAAGCGCGAATTGTGCTTCTCTTTGACAAACTTGCTTGAGGGCATGTGCTCTGCAAATCAGTATGATTCTTTCCAAATCTTGGTATCGTCTTGGTATCGTCGTCTTTCGAAGGCAACTCGACGAACGTCTTCTGTGAGTTCATGGATGAGATGGATGCTTGAATGCAGTTGACCAGTGCGAGCTGAAGGTGCCAGAGGTAGAGACGACCATGATCGGCATTGACCGTGGCGACGACCACGACCGACAGCAGCAACGACGACGGCGGGCCACCATGACCAGGCGACGACGACGACGAACGACGACGGCGGTGACAGCGACGACCGACGGCGGCGGTGGCGGCAGTGACAACGGCGACGTTCATGACTACGGGAGC